TCTCTCTCTCTCTCTCTCTCTCTCTCTCTCTCTTGCCTTTGTGTGGGCGAGAGGAGACCCTTTTTTAAGGCCATTGTTTGGGGATGAATACTTTAGAGTTTCCTAGGGAATTTGGAATTTGGGATTTGTTGAAAATGCCGCATTCGCCAAGAACAGGACGATTATTAATGGGAAAAAAAAGAGACGGATTATGTTCTGGTCCTTTCTTGGAAAAGGCCCGAGCGCATTCCCTACTTGAGGAGGTTTTGTTCTCGTTTCGTGTATACTATAAACGCGTCCCGGTCATCCGATCTGAAAATCTCACGGCCACAATGTGACCAATCAAAAGAAAAGAAAAAAAAAAAGACTCGAAACCAGAACTAAACCTCTGCAAGTGGGGCACGGCCCCCCCCCGGGAGGAGGAGGAGGAGCCAGAGGAGGAGGAGGAGGAAGAGAGGAAGAGGAGGAAGAGAGGAAGAGGAGGAGGAAGAGAGGAAGAGGCGGAGGAGGGGAAAATAATTGTTATATATATATATTTTTTGTGAGAACAGGTGAGGCGATGGAGAAGACCGTGGGTCGCTTCACTAGTTGTCTCCTTTCTCTTTCCTTCTGTCACCCTCGCAATCATTTTGTCAGCAAGATGATCTTGATTGATTGATCGTTTGATTGATTGATTGATTGATTGATTGATTGATTGATTGATTGATTGATTGGGTTGATTGATGGATTGACGACGTGGCGTTGCGAAGGAAGCGATCATCCGATTGTCACCCTCGCAAATCACTTCATCGTAGATTGATTTGATTGATTTGATTGATTTGATTGATTGATTTGATTGGTTAATTGATTGATTGATGATTTGATGATTTCATTGATTGATTGATTGATTGATTGATTGATGACGTGGCCAACAGAAAAATTGTCGGTTTTTTTTTTTTGCGTTGATCGTGGGTCCTTCACCTCTTTCAACTGTTTAAAAATTGTTCTTATACTGTTTTCCCTGGCACATGCACCGTGGTCAACAGGAAGTGATGGAAACCAACGTTGGTGAGTTATGTTGTCCACATGAAGTGACAGGATAAACTGTTGAAATTTGTGTTGGTAAACTGTTTTTAATCTGTTTATAATCTGTTGAAGTGCGTAGGGCACGTTGAAATGTGTGTTGGTAATCAGTTGTTAAACAACTGAACACAGGACTTCATGTACAATATCAAATTCGAATCGTGATGGAAATGTGATGGAAATGTGATGGAAATGTGATGAATTGTGTTGGAAATGTGATGGTGTTGTGTTTGGAATGGTGGTTCCTGCCTGTTGATGGGATGACCATTCATCTCGACGCATGCATGCGTCGATCGGAGCATTGTCGAACATTTGATTGAGGAACTCCGTGACTCGGTCATTGTCGAAAATAACTAGTGTTCGTTGGGGATCTTGATTTCACTGCTTGGTCGAGGATCGAATACGATCTTTTACGACTGAGTTCCCGCCTTTATTGGTGAACCTTTATACAAACTTCAATTGCAGTTTTACGACTAAGCCAGACCTTCCCACCCCGCGTTTTCTTTTCACCCCCCCCCCCCCACACACACGCACCAGCAGACACACACCTGTCTCTTATACACATCTAGATGTGTATAAGAGACAGCTCTTGCCTTTGTGTGGGCGAGAGGAGACCCTTT